CTTATTTTTCCCTCACTCATTGACAACTTAAGTAAATTTTTTAAACCAAGAAACTCTTTTCACATACCAGGCCCAGTGATTGGAATTGAGTATTCAGTATTGAACAGAGGAAAGACGTTTCTTGTCATTAAGCTCATATTCTACGTTATAAACATTTTTCCTGTGAAATTACTGGAATGTTTTCAAGCAATACTGAATTGTGTTCTTATAATCATCTATCTCCATTTATTGTCAAGAATGAAGAAAATTTTGAAGCATACAATTCAATGCAATGATATATATATATATATATATATATTTTTTTTTTTTTTTGAGATGTAGTTTCGCGCTTGCTACCCAAGCTGGAGTGCAGTAGCACGATCTTGGCTCACTGCAACCTCCGCCTCCCGGGTTCAGTTAATTCTCCTGTCTCAGCCTCCTGAGTAGCTGGGATTACAGGCATGCGCCACCAGGACTGGCTTATTTCTTGTTTACTAGAGACAGGGTTTCACCAGGTTGTCCAGGCTAGTCTCAAACTCCTGACCTTAGATGATCCACCTGTCTCAGCCTCCCAAAGTGCTGGCATTACAGGCATGAGTCACTGCGCCTGGTCCAATGCAATGATTTGGTAGTTATTTTGCTGGTTTTAAAATGACCTGAGTGAAATATAGTGCTTATAGCAATTCCCCATCTGTCATTCATTTCGTCTACTAATCTGCTCTGCGTTAACATTATTTCTTTTTATTAAATGTCTTGGGATAAAAAAAGATATTTTGTAGTTATACTCAAGCTTCAAATACAGTATCATTATCCATAAAACACTAAATGTATGTAAAGCTTATATAAAATTTAAAGAATAATTGTGACACTAAAGTAATCCAGAGGGATATATAAAGGTATTTTCGAAGCCCAAAAAATAAGAATCAAAAAATACACGAAGAATTGAAAATGAAAAAAGAAGCTGAGAAAAATTTTAAAAATAGGACATTTATAGCAATGAGTTATTTTGATGCATGACAGAAATTATCAACTAATTATAAAGATGTCACAGACAGTAAAATATAAATGAAAAATAAGCAATTACTTGTATACCACTAAATTTTGTGGAAGCTTGCCAGATAGGAATGCCAAATGTATAGGAAATGAAATAAAAATTAAAATGTGATCTTGTAGAAATTAATATAATCTAGAAATCAAAAGACAAGGTAAAAAAGTAAAATGATAAAATTATGGAAGAAGGTGAAACATTTGAGAAAGACAAATAAGCATTTACCTAATTAAAAGACAAATGAATAGTCTATCATATTTTGGTCATGTTTTCATAAGTTATTTTTAATGAAATATTATTACTTTCTCCTGAAAAGGACCAGAGTTATGTTTTGACCCCTTGCATAATTTGTATGACATCAGGAATGTAGCAGAGTATTTAAAAAAAAAAGCATGTTTACTTGAATTGAAAAAATGAACCACAAATATTTCAGGGAAGTGGCATGGAAATTGAATGAATGGTCTACATAAAGCCAGAGCCATTTCAACCAGGAAGCAAAACTGTCTTGCTGACAGCTGGGTTAGATATATAAATCACAAGTAGAGAAGTTTAACATGGCAATATTAAAGCCTACTTTGAACATTGTGGAGTGATTGGCACATAGTAATTTATTGAAAAATCTGTATTTATAGCCATTCATAAAGGAGTTAAAGGAAAATATATCATTTATATATTTTATGTATTTATATATTCAGTGGCCTTTACTATAAAGCATTGAAATAAAAACAGTAACAATGATCCTAATTATTTGATGAGATATTTATATAAAATATTTATAAAAGGATAATAGAAAAATAGAATTGATATTCTTGTAAAACTCAAACACTGAAAAAGATAATCTGGTGATCAAAATAAATAATAACCATGGCCACTATATTTTTAAAAAGAAAATAACAAATGTTGTCCAGACCGTGGAGAAATTGAAACCCCTGTAATTTATTTTTTTTTTTTTTTTTTTTTTACCCTGTAGTGAAGATCAGTACTAAGCTGTTCGATTTAAAGTGGGTCGCCAGATTCTATGCAAAACAGTATGTCAGTTCCTCAACACTTAAAAGCAGAATTACTGTATAATCCAGCAATTCCACTTCTGGATACATACCAAGTAAACCTGAAAATAGGGTCTAAAAGAGATAGTTCTACACTCATGTTCAAAGCAGCATTGTTCACAATAGCCAGACAGTAGAAGCAACCTAAGCGTCCATCAATGAATGATTGTATAAGCAAAATGTGATGCACGTTTTGGCACACAGTAAAATATTATTCATCCCCAAAATGGAAGGAATTCTCATGTATGCTACAGCATAGATGAACCCTGACTACATTATGCTAAATGAAATAAGCCATTTACAAAGGGCAAACACTGTATAATTTTATTTATATGTAGTATCTCAAGTGGGCAAACTCCTAGAAACGGAAAATAGAATGATAGTTACTAGGGGGGTGGGGTAGGAGAAATTGGGAGTTGTTTAATGGGTACACAGTTTCACTTTTGCAAGATGAAAAAGTTGTGGAAATTGGATTTACAACAATGTGACTATATTAAATACTGAAATGTATACTTAAAAATGGTTGAGAGGGTAAAAATGGTATGTTTGTGATAAAATTAAATCAATTTAACAATAAAATATAAACAAATGAATCAATAAATCTGTCTACATATTAAATCACTGTGGAGCCACTCAAATATAAATTGTTATGAGACCCAAAGCCAGGTAAAATGGATTATATATACATATAAGTGTTATATATACATATCATTGTAAGTTTTGTATATACATATAATTGTAAGTTTTGCACTAACGTCACAACAATGTGTGAGCCAGGCTTAGAGCATGTCTGTGTGTGATTCTAAATCTTCTATGCTCCATATCAGTGCTTTTGTTGTGGACCTTTTCTTTTGTGGTTTCCTCACTGTTGTTGGTTCTGTGTTTGGATTTCTTTTTTTAAAGTGAAAATAACTTTTTATTAAGGTAATGATTATTCATGGTTATTTGGTAATTTCAAAGAACTGGAAAGCTTTTCTTTTTAAAACTCAGAAAAAAATCCATTTCCATGTACAAATATTTCCTATTCACTCCATGACAGCAGTCTAGTGAAACTTTAATAACAATGGTTTTGCCTAGCACTTATCTTCTGAAACCTATTTAAACTAAGCATATATGTTTTGATTTGCAACACTTTGTAATTTGGATCACATCTCTGATATAGCAGAAATTTTTAATGCCTTCCCCAAACTCATTGCCCATTTACTTGAAAATTTGCCTTTTTTTCTGTTTAAGCCTCTGTACTCTTCCTATGGTGATATAAATCATAATTCCATGCTGGATCACAGAGTGTGGGGTCGCTCAGTCCTATACATGCCGTCATAATCAATCCCTGTGCTTAGAGATGGGAACATGAACTCATCCGGACCAGGAGGTGCATGAAGATTATGGGAAAGAAGATTCTGTTGATATTTTCTTTTTTTCCTTGCATCTTTGAAATAATTTATTGTTCACTTTTGCACACACGCATCATGAGTTCAGGACACGTGCAGCCTGGGGCCTGCTCCCTGCTGCAGCATTTCCAAGGCCCCAGAGTGGACCGAGGAGATGACATGGGCACGTCTTTCCATCTGTGCTTTTTTTTTTTGAGACGGAGTCTTGCTCTGTCACCCAGGCTGGAGTTCAGTGACACGATCTTGGCTCACTGCAACCTCCGTCTCCCAGGTTCAAGCAATTCTCCTGCCTCAGTCTCCTGTCTCAGCCTCCAGAGTAGCTGAGATTACAGGCGCGTGCCACCACGCCCGGGTTCCAGGTGGACATGACTTTCTGACACTATTCAACATGGGAGATATGCATGTGTTTTTTAGAAAACAGTGAGTTCTGCCTATGCTTTAAAGCTCCTTTTCTTTTCATTAGCAATGATTATTATAAAATAGCATGGAGACTTGACAGAGCTCTAAGTAGTTCGGAATGGCCACAGAGTGGGAAACAAATGGGGGAGTGGGAAGAAATAAAATGTGATAGGCAAATGATAGGCAGATGATAGAAAGGCATGTATCATGCTAAAAAAAAAGTGATGGCTGTTTTGTGACAAGCAAGAACAATAAAAATTTAGAAATATTTATTAGGTGTCTATTCTGTGTCAATAACGTATAAAAACATTCTGAGGATAATGAGCTGAAAAAGGTATATGGCTTCATGTGTACCACAGTGCAACAAGAAACCAATTCCTGAGATAGAAACAATTGGTAAAGGAGCACATTGGGGCTTGTCAAGCTTGAAGTTGAAAAAAATCAAGTAGAAAACAGGTCTAGCCAAGCTGAAATGTTCCTAGTGTAAACAAAATAATGGGATGAAAATCTGCTGATATCTCAATGGGAAAGCATGAAGAGATGACAGGAAATAGGATTCACAGCCTTGCAACACTGTAAAGTGCTACCAGCGTTAGGAATGTTCTTAGAAGAAAAACATTAGAAAATAAAAAGAAAAACATTAGAAAATAAAAAGAGAAAGGTCTTTGGAGTTACAACTTGGTGTTGAATAAAATTAAGGAGAGACGGAGGAAGAATATACCAACCCGAAGAGCAAAAGTTGAAAATACAGAACTTATGAGAGCATTTTAACTTTAATTGAAGAATATTCAGTGAAACAACAGCGCTCTCTCCACCTCTTCTCCCTGTCTCGGTGGTCTTCTTTCCCACTATCTTCTTCCCCTCGCCCTCTCCCCACTGTATTTTTTTTTCTTTTTTTGAGATGGAGTCTTGCTCTGTCATCCAGGCTGGAGTGCAGTGGTGAGGTCTCAGCTCACTGCAACCTTCGCCTTCCGGGTTCAAGCGATTCTTCTGTCTCAACCTCTGGCATAGCTGGGATTACAGACGGTCGCCACCACGCCCGGCTAATTTTTGTATTTTTAGTAGAGACTGGGTTTCAGCATGCTGGCCAGGCAGGTCTCGAACTCCTGACCTTGTGATCCGCCCGTCTCAGCCTCCCAAAGTGCTAGGATTACAGGCGTGAGCCACCGCGCCCGGCTTGGTCCTCACGGTTTTTTTTTCCCACCGTCCTTCTCCCTCTCCTCACCGTTTTGCTCCATTGTCTTCCCTACCACACTGTCTTCTCCCTGCACTTTCTCCCCAGTCTTCTTCCCCGAACCTTCTTCTCCCCCCTCTCACTTTCCAAGGTCTTTCCCACCCTCTCCGTCCCCTCCTCCCCCTCTCCCCGCAGTCTTCTGGGCCCCACTGTCTTCCGCCCGCAGCCAACACTGTTCAGTTCTGAGGTAGCGGCGGGGGCGGCGACAGCCGCGGTGGCACAGGCAGCGACTCTCCGGGGTCTCCAGCAGGGTGCTGGCGCGGAGCTCAGGGGCCCAGCTCACGGGTCTACCTGGGCGCAGAGACACACCGGGCGCAGGGACACAGGCGCGCGCATGCGTGGAGGGCTTCTAAGTGAAAGGCAGTGGGAGAGCGCGGAGAAGGGAGTGGGCGAGAAGACGAAGACGGTGGGGAGAGGAAGCGGCGAGAAGAGGGTGCGGGGAGAGAAAAGCGCGGCAGGAAGTCGTTGCTGCGAGAAGGTGGGGAGACGGAAATGGGCAGAGAATGGTGGGGAGGGGAAGAAGACGGTGGAGAATAAGACGCTGGTAATAAAGAGGATGGGGAGAGGGAGAGAAGAGAGTGGGAAGAAGACCGCCCCAGACAGAGGCTGCTGCGAGAAGGTGGGAGGACATGGGAAGAAAACGGTTTCAGGGGAAGAAAACGGTTTCAGGGGAAGAAAACGGTGGGGGCGGGGCGCGGGAAACGGTTGTGGGGAAGGCGCCTGGAGAAGACGGTGAAGGGAGAAGACAGTGCGGGGAGAAGGTGGGGAGAGAACACGGTGGGGAGAAGAAGAAGGAAGAAGGGGATGCGGGGAGAGAAAAGCGCGGCAAGAAGACGCTACTGCAAGAAGAAGGTGGGGAGATGGAGGCGGAAGAAGACGGTGGAGAATAAGATCTTGGCTAGGAAAGAAGACGATGGGGAGAGGAGAAGAGGGCGGTGAGAAGACCGCGGCAGACAGACGCTGCTGCATGCAGGTGGGAAGACATGGGAAGAAAACGGTGCAGGGTGAGGAAGAAAACGGTTGCAGTAATAGGCCGGGAGAAGACGGTGAGGAGAGGGAGGGGGAGGGGAGAAGAGGGAGCGGCGGGAAGGTGGAGAGGGGAAGCGAGCGGAAGCGAGCGGGTGGAGAGCAGGGTGGGGGAGGCCGTGGGGAGAGGGACATGGGAGGAAAAGATGCCGCCACAGGAACCGGTGCTGCGAGGAGGCGGAGAGACTGAGGGAAAGAAAACGGTGGGGAAGAGAAAAAAAACTGCGAAGGGGAGCAGAAGGTGCGGGAAGAAGACGGTGGGGAGAGGGCAGCAGAGGGTGCGGGAAGACCGCGGTGGGGAAGAAGGAGGAGAGAAGACGTTGAGGAAGAAGGAGAGGGGGGAAAAAAGGTGGGAGAAAAAGGTGGGGAAGGGAAAGGTGGGAAAGGAGAAGGGTCGGGAAGGAGAGGGGAGGGAAAGGGCAGAAGGTGGGGAAGAAGACGGTTGGAAAGGGGAGAGGGAGAGGGGAAGAAAAGGGTGGGGAGGGAGAAGGGAAGAAGACGGGATGGGGGGAAGAAGAAGGGAGGGGAAAGTGGCGAAGACGACGTTGGGGAAAGAGACGGAGAGGGGAAAAAGATCGGTGGGAGAGAAGAGGATGAAGCAGGGAACGAGGTGGGGAGAGGGGAAGAAAAAGGCAGAAAGACGGGCTGAGAAGACAGTGCTGGGAGAAGAGGGGAGGGTGGAGGGAGGGAGAAGAGAAGCGGGGAAAGACGGTGGGAGAAGGTGGTGGGGGAGAAAAGGCAGGGTGGGAGTAGAGTTGGGGGGGAAAAAGAAACAATAGTATAACAAACGTTTAAACGTCGTCTTGGAGCAAAAGAAGCAAGTGCTGCTTTAGAGTCCCGGCCTAACTTTGTTCAATAAAGTTCCACTTCCAAATGTTTTGCGATTGCAGTGTGGGTCATTTTTAGTACTTAGATCCAGAGCAGTCTCGGATTGTTAAGTGACAGTGCTGTCAAATTGCATGCTGTTCACCAGCTATAGACGAAAACATTACATTTCCATGAAGTGCACTTTGATATGTAATTTGAAGACTCTTCCTAGAGGCTCATTGGGGAAAAAATAAGAGGTGTGTACCTTTGGCATTGAACATGGAATCTCTGATTTTAGACTGCATTTGTTTCCCCCAAATCTTTTAAGATTGTGGCTGAAACATGACTGTGAATACGGCATTCATTTTGTGGGGCAGTGCATATTATTTTAGCAAAGATAGGATAAACTGATAAACCTATAAGGAAATGTAATTAATTCAATTTAATTAATTCACTCATACAAATTTAGGTTTCCTTAATATAAAAAACTCAAAAACAGTTAAACTGCCTAAGTCTTTTAACATCATGCCTTAGAGTCAAGAGAATTTGTCAATGCAATCCTGTAATGCTGGTGTTGCATTATGCCTATATAAAATACACGTTAAACCTAAATGTTGCTTTTTTATTTGGCATTGTAGAACTTCATAGAAGTTTATGTGTATTAATACTTACAGGTGAACTTGACATAGACTATTAATTGGTGAATGGTAACTTATTGCTTGTAAAATAAGCAGTTAAATGTAAGGATGTAAATACATTTCATATTACCCTATGGTTTTTAAAAAATATTTTCTTGTTTTGTATTCTAGTTTAAAATCCCGGAATATCTACTGATATCTTATTTCCCCGTGAAAGGTCTTCAGCTAACTATATTGTATTTCCAAGCAAATGTCTGTACCAGAACATCAAGTGTAGAAATGAAGCAAAATCTGTATTTTAGGACAGATGCAGTGGCTCGCACCTGTAATCCTAGCATTTTGGGAGGCCAAGGCACGTGGATGGCTTGAACTCAGAAGTCCCAGACCAGCCTGGGCAACATGGTGAAACCCTGGCTGTACAAAAATATACAAAAATTAGCTGGGCATGGTTGTTGCACATCTTGTGTTTTATTCAATCAAATTGAAGGCTTCATTTACACCTGGAAAACAAAATGATTTAATGTACTCATAGAAAAAAATAATTAACCTCATGCCCAAAAGGGGTTCACTTACAGCACACGTTCATTCATACTATCAGTGGGTTACACGTGTCTGAGCACCGCCTATTGAGTCAGGAACACAAGTCAGTATCCACACTGAATATTACCCAAGCTTTTCCCATCTGTAATATAGAGTAGCATAGATAACTTCATGGACTTCATCTCTTTAATTTGTTGTGGAACACTAACATGACCTCCTCATATATAATTAATTATCAATGCTGCTCTTAGATAGATGTTACCGTCTGGATATTTACTAGACTTACCATGACTTAACTGCAGATATGTGATCCATATCCAATGTGTACTATACTAATTCTGTAATCTTTGATTATTAAGTCTCACATGGTGGTTTTGGTTTTAAAAAGCTCTTGGAGATCAGGTGGTTTGTGTTTTGTTTTTGTGTTGTTATTTTACTATGAAGTAATGTGGATAAAGATTCTGGAAGCACAACTGTGCACAGCCACCCAGTGAAAAGGTCCATTGTTAGTTCCCTTCATGAAAGCTTTGGGTATTTAACACAGCATCAGGCATAGGCAACCTTTGCAACACTACAACAGGAAGTTGCAATTTGAGTCATTCTCAGTCACTGACAGTCTCTATGTGCAAATTTAACAGCAGGGCCACTCTATATACACATAGGACAGTATTGGGATTGGCTTTTTAAAACAAATTATATCCTTTTGCCAAAAAAGAAAGAATGCGCATGGTAATAACTGCAAGTCACCATGCTTTCTTAAGAAAGACAGTATCTGAAAAAGATACATGAAAAAACTACATTTGCCTCTTTAAAAACATTCTATGTTATTGTGGAAGCAACGTCACAGAAAAAAGGGTTAGAAGAAATGTGAATCAGCATGAAATAAAATATTTTGAGGGTTATTGAACACTGTTCATTTTCATGAAAACAGAACAAGGTTGTTTATTTAGCACAGGTATTTCTGTAATTGTGATACATTAGCACAATTAGCTGTATTCTGCAGTGCTTGATCTTGCTCTGTGTGTGAAATGACCTACCACTAATACAAGGAAATTTGTTGTGAAACATGTACTGTAGAATTAAGTTCAATTCTTAACCAAGTGGAAGAGAGAAAATGTTCAAGAAAAACAAAGCAATTGTGCACGTCACACTATAGTTGAAAGTGTTCTGATACTGAAGCTATGTCCAGTATTTTAAGCTGCTTTTATACAGAGTGATTACTTGTACGTTAATCTCAGAAGATTCTAGATAGAAATTCAAAGGCCTTGGTCCCAGTCAATTAAATGTGACTCTGAGAGAATCCCAGTGATACTCACTTTCCCCTGTTCCAATCATTGATCAGATGGTTAAGGATGCATGAAAGATACATGATTTTTAAAAACAAGATAATGTTATTTAAAATATCAGTGTTCAGTGCTTGCATTTGCAAAGAACATAAATATTAGATGATACTGAGGACATTCCTTAATAATCAGCAAAGGTAAAATGTATTGTTTTAATTCTGAAAAAAATGGAGAGGGTTACCATGAAATTATTAAGATTTTACTTACATTTGTTACCAAGTCACCGAATTCAAAAGCAGAATTGCTGAAGTCACTGGAGTTTGATACTTCAGGATTGATGGTTTTGGTTGAATTCTTTAAAAAATCAAAACTATAACTACATGATATAAACAACTGTGCTCATTTGTTTCAATAGAAATTAAATATATATCCTTACAGTATTCTTAGGTCAAAGAGTCAATTGGATGGTTAACAACACTACTTCCCAATTTCTTTGTCACTGTTAAGATAAATCTCCAGAGTTTGGATGGTTTTTAAAATAAGATTTGACTTGTAACTTACATAGGTATGAATTTGATAGTTATATTTTGATTTGTCATAGACAAAATACTGAATGATTATGGAAAATTGTTTCAATATGTCAAATTAGTTCCATGGCACCCGCGGTTATGTAACTGTTAGTACCTGTGGGGAGGGGCCTTTTTTTTCTTAATTCTCAAGCCCATAAGCAATCATTGACAATACTCAATTCTGATTCCTTTTCTTGGGGCCACATAAAATTTAATCTCTGTCTCTATTTCTAGAAAACTTTAGAAAAAACTTCCTATCATGAGAGAGTCTTTTGTCAGACAATAGAATAGTTTTTCAGGGATGCAACTGTTTGGATAGGTATTTTCAGTTTGGAGTTGTAAAATCATATTCTATCATCTCAACTATTCCATATATCAGCAGTGTTTTGGGACTGTGACAGAACATTTTATTTTTCATTTTATTCACTTAGAAAAAAATCAAATAAAAACTACGCTGTTGACTTAGGAATCAGAGATATTTGCTGTTTGATACAGAGTAGGAACACTGCAATGACTTCAAGAAAATGATGACATTCTTCTAGACTGAAAAATGCATGTGTCCTTGACCAAATAACAACTCTCTTTCTTGTACAGATCGCCTGGACACTCAAACTGCCTATTCAGAACATGGCACATCATAGAGATGAACTTTTAATAATTTTATTTGCCCATGTTTTCTGATTGCTCTATTTCACTGTGAACTCTCAGTATGAACGATTAATATAACAGATAATTTGGAGGCTGGTGTTTACAACTGATTGATGACATCGGTTACACATTTCTTTATTCTACACTCCATTCTATGCTGCGAGAATAAGATATTTATAAGTAGAGACATTTTATTTGCAGTATAACATACATTCAAATTAGGTGCTTGTACAGACATTTTCCCAAATATTGCCATTTCTTTTTTAACACATAGGTCCTTAGTAAGCACTGCTTTGTAACACCAGTTTAAAATAGTTCTTAATTCTTTTAATCTAACCATTTACAATATAAAAGTTTCAAGAATGGCACAAAGAAAAAATTATTTGTCAAAACAATATTATCAGACATAACATTTTTATAAGACAACTTTGTGAGGTCAACAACAAAGCATCACAAGTGAGAGAAAATTTTAAATGCCTTTTTTTTTGAGGAATAAATGTCAGATTTATGCTTCTGATAAAGACAGACCAGGTATCCTAGAATATTTTAAATTAGTTTTTGTATGTAAAATAA